AAACCAAAAAAAAAAAGAGTCATTTTCTGTTTTGTTTTATTCTTGGATCGGGCTTTAAAGGGTTAAAATACTGATGGGGAAATGTATTTTCATCAATTAAAGCTTAAGTATCAGCAGCTGGATACCTTCATGCATCTAGAAACTTAAACCTTAAAAAGCAGGAACAGATCAGAAGTACTGAGGTAAAACTTGGAAATAAAATAATAAAATCATAGAGTCTGGTTTCTCTGTGCTGCTTTAACCTCTAAGCTTTTAAAATCAGCTCTATTCTTTCCAACAGTTTGATTTTCCTCCAGCTGCTGTTCTTATTTAGTGTAATTTGATGCTTTCCAAAGTAAAGGCATCCTTTAGCCTTCAGAAGCATCGCTTCATTTCCACCTTTAGGCGCATCCTCCTGCAGCCGTTGAACAAAAGAAGATCCTGCTGGTGAACCTGCTCACTAAGGTTCTCATCGTAACATTTTGAACTGAAATTATGTCACTAGTGGGAGAGCATTTGGTCTGCAGCAGGTACGGAAAGCCAGAGGTGCAAATGTGATACATTCAAAAGTGGCATTTCTTTTATTTTTACATGTGAAAATATCAATTTAATATGAGATGCAAATCATCAAATAACAAAAAAAGGTTCCATTTAAATTATTGGTAATATTAGATACATGTTTTCTCTTTATGCTTATTTGCCAAAGACTGAATTAATTTATTATAAATCAAAGCCTTTCTTCTTGGAGGAAAGTCAGTCATAATCTTTTTTAATTTGTAAGGTGATCTAGTTGACTTTTATTATGAGCACAAGATTAAAGATTCTATTTAAGCCGGGCATAAACTGTATGATTTGTTTCCCCTTTTTGGGCCGACTTTTCAGTCGTTGGAGAATTTTTCACCTGAGTGAAGTTGGCCCCCCCACCTTCTTTAAATCAGACAAAATTAGTGTCAAACGCTTGTGCTACGTTTGTGCAGCAAAAATTTTCCTTTGTGCCGCTATCGTTTTAAAGATATATTCTTTAAATGAGGCAAAGTGGCTGTCAATTAACTCGACTCCGTTTGTGCAGCAAAAACAGATGTTAACTGACCTTTGATATTATTAATATCATTAAAATGATAGCAGTACAAATGAAGATTTTTGTCATACAAAAATATAAAATTTTAGAATTAACTTTAAATTTAAAATATTTAAAATAAATTTATTAAAGATTCAAAAATGCATATTTTAAAATATATACATTTTTTGTACTGCTATCATTTTAATGATATTAATAATTGTTTGTGGAAGCCATCAAAGGTCAGTGAACATTTGTTCATTCTGAAACTCTGAATTTCATATAAATTATAAGTTGCTAACCTATGATTATATCATTTTAAACTGTAAAAAAACTATAGCGGCACAAACGGAAATTTTTGCTGCACAAACCAGCAAAAACGTTTGATACTAATTTTGTCTGATTTGAAGAAGGTGAGGGGGCCAAACTTCACTCAGGTGAATTTTTCGACTGGGCCGTCTTTCATCCTGATGGTGCATCATGTAGTATACAGGGGGTAACCAGGGGCGATCAGCCTCTAACGACCACCTCCTGATCAGGGATCGTAATCTCGGGAGAAATATCAAACATGCTAGAAATTCAGTCGGCCGTCATAAGGTGGTCGTGGGCAAATTGCTCAGTGCGGAAACAAGGATTCCTCTTCTTCCTCTCAGATGTATTTGTATGATTTAAATGTTTGTCAGATTCCTTTGACGAGATCTTAGATAATTCTTTACAATTAGGGATGCACGATATAATCGGCCCCCTATCGGTATCGGCCTTAAAACTGAGTATCGGACATCGGCCACCC